TTTTTCTTCTGTTTCTTCTTCTTTTTTCTCTTCTTATTCTCCTTTTTCGTTCTCACTTTCTTGCACTCCACTCTGTCTATTCACACATCGACTCCATCCTTTCCCTCATCTTCTATTCCTCTACCTCCCTCTGCCCTTCCCCTTCTCTCTCTTTCCCCTTCCTCCCCTCCCCTCCCTCCCCTCACACCCTTTCAAAATCCTCTTTCCAAACTGAAAAAACTCGTATCGTGTTTCCTCTCATTTCTCTTGTACGGCCTCTTCCTCTCTTCCTCCTCCTCCATCTCCTCCCTCCTCTCCTCATCTCCTTCCTCCGCCTTCTCCCTTCTCCTCCTCCTCCTCCTCCTCCCTTTCCTCCTCGCATTCTCCTCCTTTCCTTCCATCTCCTCCACACTCCCCTTATCCCTCTTCCTATTCTAATTCCCTTTTCTCCTCTTCTTTTCTCCTTCCGTCCCCTCCTTTCCTCCATCTCAATCCCCCTCTTTCCTTTCTTCATCCTTTATTCCGCGGTCCTTCAATGTATTATTATCTCCTTCCATTTCCCTCTTATCACTTCCTCTCTCATTTACGGAAACGTCTTCCATCTCCCCTTCTTTCCCTTTTCCTTCCTCTCCTGCTTTTCGTACTATTTTCCTCTCCTCCCTAGTTCTCTCCGTCTCCTCTCTTTCCTATCTTTTCTTCTTCACCTCCCTCTCTTCCCCTCCCTTTCCTTTCCCTTTCCTTTTCTCGTCTCTCTCCCTCCTTCCTCATCCCAATGGAATGGGTAAAGGCTTGGGGATTGGGGTATGTGGAGGGGGATTGGGTAGGGGGACGGGTATGAGGAGGGGAATGGGTATGAGGAAGGGCATACGTAAGGAATAGGGTATAGGAGGGGAACGGGGGTATGAGGAAGGGTATAGCGTAAGGGAATATGGTATAAGGAGGGGAATGGGGTATGAGGAAGGGTATAGCGTAAGGGAATAGGGTATGAGGAGGGGAATGTGGTATGAGGAAGGGTAGGGGAGGATGGTATGAGGAAGGGGTATAGCGTAAGGGTATAGGGTATGAGGAGGGGAATGGGGTATGAGGAAGGGCATTGCGTAAGGGAATATGGTATGAGGAGGGGAAAGGGGAAGGTTTATGAAGGGGGAATAGAAAACAGATCTGGAATATAGGCCTATAGTTGTTACATCATACAGTGGTTATCCAGCTGCTTATTTGTATATAGGCCTATATATTTGTTTATTTGTATTTTTGTTATTATTTTTGTCTTATCTCATGTAGGCTTTTTGTCCGTTGTTGGAACAGAAAGGCTTCGACTCTGATCATATTGAATTGCATTCGATGAATACTTAATCTGTAAACAAATTTCTCTCTCTCTCTCTCTCTCAAATTCTCTCTCTCTCTCTCTCTCTCTCTCTTCTCTCTCTCTTCTCTCTCTCTCTCTCTCTCTCTCTCTCTCTCTCTCTCTCTCTCTCTCTGTCTCTCCCCCCTCTCTCTCTCGTTCTCTCTCCCCCTCTCTCTCTCGTTCTCTCTCCCCCTCTCTCTCTCTCTCTCTCTCTCTCTCTCTCTCTCACTCTCTCTCTCTCTCTCCATCTCTCTCTCTCACTCTCTCCTCTCTCTCTCTCTCTCTCTCTCTTCTCTCCTCTCTCTCTCTTCTCTCTCTCTCTCTCCACTCTCTTCTCTCACTCTCACTCTCACTTTCTCACTCTCTCTCTTTCTCTCTCTCGTCTGAGTATTGTCTATCTTATGAATGGTTCACGTGTTTAACTTTTTCTAATGGATAGTTTTGAAATCGATTCCCCACGCTCGGCATTTTTTTCCCACGGTGGCGATGTTCTTTCCCACGCCCCCGTCTGTGCGGCCGCTCGATCGTAGGCGAGGAAAAAGGTGAAGGGAAAGTGCACAGAGGGGCTCAGGAAGCGGGGGAAGGGAGGTCAAGGGTCATGATACCTGTTCACTGGAAAAAGGGGAGCGGGGGCGGTGGTGGGGGGGGGGGAGGTGGAGGGAGGGAGAAGAAGGTAAAGCGAAGGTCGTCCAGAGAACAGTTGCTTCACACACACAAAAAAAAGAGAACAATGGCGATAAAAACGACAATCGTAAAAACGAGAAGAATGAACGCATGAATGAATATGAATGACTGAAGGGAGATACGGGCGGGGTGGGTGGGGCAGGGGTAGGGGGGGGGGAAGGAGAGAGGGGGCGGTGGAAGGAAGCGTTGGGGGTGAGGGAGGGGGGGGGGAACAGAAGAAGGAAGAAGACGGGGATTAAGAAAGGGGGAGGATGAAAAGAAGGAGGAGGAGGAAAAAGAGAAGAAGAAGAGGAGGAGGAAAAAGGAGAAGAAGAAAGAGGAGGAGGAGGAAAGGAGAGAAAAAGAGAGGAGGAGGAGGAGGAAAAGGAGAAGAAAAAGAGAGAGGAGGAGGGAAAAGGAGAGAAAAAAGGAGGAGGAGGAGGAAGGAAAAGGAGAAGAAAAAAGAGGGAGGAGGAGGAGGAAAAGGAGAAGAAAGAAGAAGGAGGGAGGAGGAAAAGGAGAAGAAGAAAGGAAGGAGGGGAGGAGGAAAGGAGAAGAAGAAAGAGGAGGAGGAGGAGGAAAAGGAGAAGAAGAAAGGGAGGAGGAGGAAAAGGAGAGAAGAAAAGAAGAGGAGGAGGAACGGAGAAGAAAGAGAAGGAGAGAAAAGAGAAGAAGAAAGAGTAGAGGAAGGAAAGGAGGAAGAAGAAAGAGTAGGAGGAGGAAAGGAGAAGAAGAAGTAGATAAGGAAGAGGAGAGTGGGGAAGAAATTAGAGGAGGAGGAGGAGGAGTAAATAGGTATTGTGGCCTGGCAGTAGGTGAAAGGCGAGAGCATAGCATTATGTTCCCTTCCCCTGTGGGTTCATGAGGCGTGACGCAAGGCAGACCCGGAGGAGGCGGCGGCGAGGGCGTGAAGCAGGCGCAGGGGCAGAGCGAGAGGCAGAGCGAGAGGCGAGGGAGGCAGGCGCAAGGGGCAGGCGCAGGGGCAGAGCGAGAGGACAGGCGCAGGGGCAGAGAGAGAGGCAGGCGCAAGGGGCAGGCAGAATAGATGGGGAAAAGGCGAGGCAGACAGGCAGGAAGCAGGCGGATTGGAGATCTAGCGCCGAGTCCGGGTCGTTAGCCAAGCAGGCAAGGGGGTGTAAGGCAGGGCAGGCAGACAGACAGGCCAGGCAGGCAGGCAGGCAGACAGGGCAAGCAGGCAAGGCAGGCAAGCAGGCACCAGCAGACAGACAGACAGACAGACAGACAGACAGGCAGGCAAGGCAGGCAGGCAGGCACGGCAGACGGGCAAGGCAGGCAGTCAAGCAGGCGGCAGGCAGTCAAGCAGGGCAAGCAGGCAGAACGGGCAAGCAGGCGGGGCAGGCAAGGCGGGCAGGCAGGCAGCAGGCAGGCATGTAGGCAGAGGGCAAGCAGGCAGACGGGCAAGCAGGCAAGAGGCAGACAGACAGACAGACAGACAGGCAGACGGGCAAGCAGGCAGGCAAGCAGGCAGGCAGACGGGCATGTTGATAAGTAGAAGGGCGAAGAGGTAGGCGGTGTGCTGACAGGCCAAGCGGACGCCGAGCCAAGGGTGCAAGCAGGGAAATGGCAATCGAGCAGGCACGGCGCAAGCAGGCAGGCAGGCAGACAGGCAGGAAAGTCGGTCGCAGATCGGAAGCAGTGACGGGATTGATCCAGGGGCAGACGGGGCAGTGAGTCAAGAGGCTTAAGAGGGCAGTGACAACGCGTATGTGCGTGTGCGTGTGCGTGTGCGTGGTGTGCGTGCGTGCGACGTGAGTGCACAGTCGTCATTATATTGATCCTGTCTATGATGGCCGGGAAGCATGGCGTCATGCGGTCTGGTGACTGGGATGTGCTCTCTTCTCTCCTCTCTTCTCTCTCTCTCTTCTCTTCTCTCTCGTCTCTCTCCTCTCTCTCTCGTCTCTCTCTCCTCATCTCTCTCTTTCTCTTCGCTCTCTCGGCTCTGCTTCTCTCTCTCTTCTCTCTCTCTCCTCTTCTCTCTTTCCTCTTCTCTCTATCTCTCTCTCTCTCTCTCTCTCTCTCTTCTCTCTCTCTCTCTCTTCTCTCTCTCTTCTCCTCTTCTCTCTCTCTCCTCCTCTCT